ATCAAGTGTGAGTGCTGACGTCAATGACACGTGCATTGCTTCTGAATACACGTCATTGGTGGATGGTGCCAGCCAATCCAATACAGTACAGACAGAAGCAAGATTATGCAAGCAGTACTGCAATCCCACTGGTGGAGGCTCAGATTGCCAATAATCTCCCTTTGTACATATTATTTAATCACCGTCATTTCTTCCAATAAACGAACTACTAACTGCCAGTCCTGTGGCCCTTTCCTCGCGTCTCGTTCTCGCGGGACGTTGCGAACCTGTACCATTACGGTCCAGTGCTTCTGTGATCCAGTCCGTGATAGCTGATTAGTTATTCTGGCCCTGTGATTCCTATTTCGTGGTTGGCGTTCCGAATTCCGTGCGTACTACTACGACCACTACAATCATTATAAATTGGCGTCGCGTGATGGAGCTCCCAACGATTGACCAATTAAACCTGCAGGCAAGTCCATCCGAGATCGAGGAATGGGTTGAACGACGGGAGCTGTGGTGCAGTATTCGCAAAGGTGGTAGACAGAATCAATCAGCTCCATATCTTTCTGGTGGCCGTCGTGACCTATTCTCCCTGTTAAGAAACCTGGCGTACCCTGAGGCTCCGGCTAAACTACCATACGATTCCCTGAAAGCGCTGCTGCTCAATCACCTGCTGCCCACTGAATTCCAAGCACACGAAAGGGCCAAATTCAACTCCATGATTCATGCTGACCATGTTTCCTGCCGTGAATTCATCCTGCAGCTGAACAAACAAGCATCACGCTGCAACTATGGCAATCGCCTGGAAGAACAAATGTGTGACCGCTTTGTGGCAGACATCAATAATCTCACTCTTCAACGGAAGTTTCTGGAGAAGAAAGATTTAACTTTTACCGATTCCCGCAAGATCTGTAAGCAATACAACGACCCGATGAAAGCTACTTCCAGCGAATCAGTCACATTATTCCAACGGCAGAAGACACGACCGAACCGACTTCAAATGGCCAAGTGTATACCAAACCCGCAGCATGACTCTTCAGNGGTAACAAGAAACGTATCAATTCGTTTGTCATGTGGAGCTTACCATCTGTGTTCGAAATGCCGCTTCTGAAATGCCAAGTGTCATGCATGCGAGAAAACTGACCACATTCAGAGAGTGTGTAAACAGCCCCATTGTAATCTCGCACAGCCATCGGTCGACGAGGAAACCACCTCTATGCTTTCCCCACGAACCCAAAGTCAACGTACCCAGTACCTATACCAAGATGTGACATTCCAGTTGGGTACGAAGCATAATTTCATTGTGGATACGGGAAGTACGGAATCTATCATTTCAACTGAAGTACCGCAATCTATCTATCCGGAAGCACAAATTTATCAAAATGTCGCAGAACCATTGGACTGATCCTGAAATCTTTCAGATATCTGGACAGTAAAATCAGTATCTAAATGGTCTTCGCCAGACCACATTTAGAATTTGGTACATTAATTTGCATTAATATGCGCCAGTGCGACAGAGTAGCGATCGAAAAAGTTCAACGCTACTTTACAAAACAATTATTTGGCTTTTCCAATTGCCCAAATTATAAAGAACGATGTACGGCACTGAAACTTGAACCGCTATGGCTACGACGAATAAAAACTAACCTAACCTTTTTCCATTAAAACATAATAGATAAGAGAAGTACGGCCATTCCAGAATTAAAAGATCAGTATAACTATAGATATTCTTTACGAGGAAGGGGTATTACCGTCTCTGAATCGTTTTCTTGCAACCGCTTGTGGTTCAGCTATTTTATAATCAAATACTCCCTCCTGTGGAATAAGCTTCCTCCACACATTCGTACGATTAGTCATGTATCAGCATTTAAAAGGAAATTGAACAAGTTCCTTGATGTACCAATGTTGATACACCTGTATCTCTGAAGATCGAGCATATGAAGTTGGTTTGGGGTTTTTATCAGCCACTCGATAAACAGTGCAGTAGTACAACCGTATACGTTAAACAATATATCTAAAAACGTGGCGTGCCATAATCAACAGCCGGGACTGAGCCCAAACTGCCGCTTTCTTCTGTTTGTTTCAGATGTCCCCCCAATGCTCGAGGATAAATCTTCGTCGTGAAGAACGGCTGCACCCTGTTTACAGTTCGCGCAACGTGGACCTAGAAATAATGCCAATTAAAAGCAAACAAAAAATTATGCACCTTTCCTCTGCTGATCTCCTGAGATGATGAAAACGGCTGTAAGGTGGAACTACGCAAACGATACTGACACGTCCTGAGCCACTAACGATTACAACTCTTCTGAAGGAAAAAGAAGTTCGTCATGAGGAACGGACAGGGCCTCCATGGAGCCTGCAGAAATCCCGACCTGAGAAAAAAGAACATAACAGAAGAAACATTGAGATTCGTAATCCCGGGGATTCCCCTATGACAAACCCGAAACTGTACAATTGTGCACCAGATCAGAGCAAGATGCACATTAGTGCGTTTCTTATAGTTTTTTTCAAATCCTTTATCTCTTTGGCAATGAGACATATATGATTTAATAATATAGAGATAATTTTAGTGGTAGTAAAGTAGTAGGTGAATCTATAGCAGTTATAAAGCTTTCTTGAGAATTAATTCAAAAGGCGATTTTCTGCTTTTTCGCTAAATTTAAACACTTTACATATCATCAGGCCAAGCAGACGTTACCAGTTGGTATCACGTCGGCCAAAAATTATTACGCTGCTGCAGAATTGTCCGTAAACTGGTTTCTTGGCATCGAAGAGGAGGAAGAAGGTCCACCAGACGTTTATAACAGATTAAGTTATACCCCAAACAACATGAAATTTTTTCCTCGTTTATTTTAATTTTATTTAACTGAATGACCTCTGCACATTTACAAACCATCTTCACAGGATAAACTAAAGAACGCCAACACACCCCCAACGGAGGTAGATAGGTGGCGACGTCTGCTAGGGTTTGGTAAAGTAAGACGAACCCTAAATCATACGGGTAACAGGTGCAAATGGTAGCGCTTGTTCGCTGACCAGCCCTATAAACAGGGAGTGAGCCATTTTTATGGCCCACAAGGGGTTATAGCTCCAAGCTTTTGTGCTGCCCCTTGACTACGACAACAATTAGAAACACCAACGGTAAACCGCCATTCTAACCTTGTACGCAATACCATCGGGCTTTTCAGTCCCCCCCCTCCTAGCTAAAGAGTGTTGCCTAATATACCTAAGCTTACTCAACCGTGGGGTGATCGAGTTCCACGTTGATTCCTGACCTAATTTTCTACTTTTATTCCCCTAGTCATAAAATGATTATGGCTAGAATTCCAGCCATTTCGAATGAAAACTCTATAGTTTGTCTGCCTTCTCTATTTAATTGTTTGCGATAGCATAACTCAATATGCCCCTCAGGTAACTCGTACTCGATGCTTCTCTTTAAACCAGATTTCCGCAACGGAACATTTGGTCTCTTGATTCTGAGGCTTATGTCATGCCTGATGCCTTTGATGGAATTTTTCCATAACCGTTAGTTTGCTAAGCACGAAAATTAGCCAATAAAACAATTAATTTACCTATAGTGTGCAATATTTCTATATATAAAAGAGTGAGTATGTCTCCCTAGGTCACAGTTGTCATATATTTTACCCCCTGAGATTTGGATGCATCACCTGATATAGAATCACTTCTACCTGAACATTAGCGTTTTTCCTCCGCAAGTTGTTGTTTTATACCGATAACTTTCATATTTTTCATCTTTATTCGTTCTTGTGCATATCTGCGCGTATGTTGTCATTCCACGGAAATGTAACACTGAGTTCATTGATGACCTTGAAGTTGAAAGTGGGTCGATCTACAGTGTGAAATGGAGCATTAAAACAACAACATATTCCATTCAACAATTCTCCATTATACTTTGTTTTAACAAACATCATGACCATGTTCCCAGGTCTTGTTTTGTATTATATGAGGCCATTGTTAGTGTACCTTGCCTGCCATGATCGTGCACTACATGCATGTCTCTCGTTGTAACCCGAGAAATATACCATTATTATTATTATTATAAATTACTGTGCAAATTATTAGCATTACTGGTCACAAACGCACATTGGTGGGGAGGTGTCGCTATTGGTTCGATCAGCGAAACGTTGCTTCATCCCAATTCGATTTCTGGTCGCTAATAGAATTGATTCCATTCTTGGCCTGAAGGCCTTACAGAAGTCGAACAAACCTGTGTTAATGCATTTCTGCAAAGCGCCAGTGGCGGAGGCTGACCACGAGTAGTCCCACTAACGTTGGAACTATGTGCACACAATCCTCCGAATCGAGAAGTATTGTTCACCGACAGTTACACAAAATATTACATTGCTCCTGCTCGCACGATGCAGCGAAGAATATGGCGAGAAAGGTGAAAAAATCTATTTCATCGGCAAGCCAGAAGACGGTGTCGCAATTTGGAAAACTGCTGAAGAATGTCCTACCAAAGTGCGAGAGTGTCGTGCACCACACGTTCAAAGAAAAATCGTTGAAACCGTGCAAACCACGAAGATCGCGAACATCAGTACGATGTGTTACTTCGGTGAACGATTCAACTGATCAGCAACGAAGAATCCACCCAATATTCCCAAGCGACTCTACAAGTTCGAACGATCAATTCACTGAACCCTCAAGTACAAGAATCAGAAAACAGGAATCCGGGGATCCTGAAGTGCCTAACAGTGAGATTACTGCACTTGCCCTACGAAAATCATTCCCAGGAAGAGTTCAGTTCGACGAAGTTCTTTTGAAGGAGGAGATTTGTTGTGATCCACGCCTGTACGATGACGCCTATCCTGGAGTGGCGCGTTACAGTTTCAAGACATTTGAGATCAATCAAGTGTGAGTGCTGACGTCAATGACACGTGCATTGCTTCTGAATACACGTCATTGGTGGATGGTGCCAGCCAATCCAATACAGTACAGACAGAAGCAAGATTATGCAAGCAGTACTGCAATCCCACTGGTGGAGGCTCAGATTGCCAATAATCTCCCTTTGTACATATTATTTAATCACCGTCATTTCTTCCAATAAACGAACTACTAACTGCCAGTCCTGTGGCCCTTTCCTCGCGTCTCGTTCTCGCGGGACGTTGCGAACCTGTACCATTACGGTCCAGTGCTTCTGTGATCCAGTCCGTGATAGCTGATTAGTTATTCTGGCCCTGTGATTCCTATTTCGTGGTTGGCGTTCCGAATTCCGTGCGTACTACTACGACTACTACAGTCATTACAGGTGATTAAACTGGGTCTGCCACATTGCCGTGTCTGATCCCTCGGTGTCTCCTCGGGGCTCCGTTGCAAGGTAGACCCCAGTCGTTGGACGTGAACATGAAGCTGACCCATTCGCGCTGGCGAGTTTGATGGGCTTCATAGTACGTCCGCCGCGTCATCTGGTCGGATGGTCACCTGGCCTCTTGTGCTAAAATTTACTTTTCCAGAGGAATGAAAAAACCGGTCACGATGTATGGGGTTTGCGAATCCAACAAGGGCAGGCCTGAGGGTTTGTCTTGTTCCGTTCTCATCCCTGTCCACCGTCCCAGAAGCAGGACTCTCTTGATGGCTATGTATCCTCGCAGTTCCACTATTCTTAGCAAGTTGACAATGTGGTACCTCATTGCCCGGTCCCTTTGTCTACTTCTTTTATTGTGGGCTCCGGGATACGATGTATCACCACATTTCCATTCCTGCCAAGTGCTATGCCACTGGACTTCTTGAGTTGGGTCAGCTCAACCTGTAACCTTTTGTTTCCCTGCTG